TTGCAGCCCTTTAAAACCTGAACAGCAGGCCACTAACTTCTTCAGTTAAATCCAACATTCTGCACACAGCAGCAGGTAAGTATGTCACATAACATCTTAATTCAGATTCATACGAAACACAAACATTTCTTTTCAAATAATATTTTACAATAGAGACACTTTCAAGAAGCTGGGGATCTAGCTGGCCCATCACTGAGAGATAAAATCATGAGCAGATACACTTTAAGAAGGGGAAAGGCAGAATCCATCAACTAGGGGTTTTGAAACCTCTGGGGAAATCACCTGTAAAGATTTAGGCAGCAAGGAGAAACAAGACGACGGATAGAATATATTCTCTAAACGGAGCAGTGATGAAGAGGACGTGGGAAAATACTGCCCCCTTTGAAGTGGAAAAAGCAGAGCTGGGAAAAGCAGAGGCAGGTAACTGAAGGCAAGATTTCACTCTCTCCCCCTATAAATACAGTCATCTGTAATCAATTTCTTTTCTGTAATCAGTTTTGAAGAACGGCAACCTGCAAGACCGGGATAGCTCAGGATCACCCCAGGGATGAAATGCTTGCCCTTTCCTAGTTCCTCCCTCCCAGTTAGCCTTCTCTTTATTCCCAGTCCTGTTTTGCTTTTTTTGTTTTGTTTTGTTGTTGTTCTTTTTTTTTTCTTTTAAAACTGGAAGCTTTTTTGATTTTTGCAATTTCTGCCTTTGGAAAATCTGTACACCTTTGTCACCTTCTCTGAATAAGCTATAATTAAAACCTATTTTTGAAATATTTACAGATGTCTGCCATAGGCCTCTTCTGCTGTTTAGAATCCTAAGATTTTTTTTTTGCATTAAGAAAGCAAGCCTGTGGGAAGCAAGCAGACAGTCCAACCCTGTGCCCTTACAGCTATGTGTTATTTACTCTCCCTCTGCTTTCTGACCAGTGCTGGAATTGAGGATATAGGTGACCCTGATTCCTTCCTTTATGGAAACATAGCCATCCAGTATGTGTGCAAATTAATCATTCTGCACACGATTCCTGATTACTTTGTCAAAACATTTAACACATTGAGCACCTGCCTGTGCCCTTAACAGTAATAAAAATGTGCCTACCTGATAGAATTAAGATAAGACCAATGCTTGGTAAAAAACAAAGCAGTACATGGTATGTTTTCAATAAGGGAGAGCCAATAAAATTCTTGGTTTTTCATTATAAAGCAGAAAGTTAAGAACTACAGCTATTAAAGACAATTTACGGTTTTGCTGGTAGCCCTAGGGGAAGTTGTCTATTCCTCTTAGCAACCTGATAAGGTATCTTGACAAATTAAACTAAAAGGTTAGTATCATGTGAGAGTTTTTCTAGTAATATAGCATAATATGAAGCATCCCTAGAAGGTACAGAAAATTGTGGCTACTTATTCCACAGCTCCTCTCTTCCAAATTCATGAGCACAGACCAAATACAACTAAATTACAGAGAACCTTTTACAGAGACACACATACCCACACATGCATAATGCCAAGATGAGAAGATTCCTGACCAAACGATGTCTTTAATAGAGGGTGGATGGGACAAGCAAAGCATGGTTTTTTTTCTAGGAAGGCATGAGGGGCTCAGCTCAAGGAAAGCCTTCCCTGATGCGTAGAGCCTCACTGTCACGCCTGCGTCTCAGCTGTCTGTCAGCAATCTCCTTGATACTGTCAGTACCTGAAATTAACCTCTCTCCTCTCTCCTGCTTATTATTATTTGCCTCTCCCCGCTAGGATGTAAGCTCGGTACTCAATTATTCATGTTTTTTTTCTTTCAATGAATGAATACATACTTTTTTTTTCAGATTTTCCCAACTCCTGGGTTTCTCTCTGGAATACTTTTTTATAAACCAGGAAGTATCTATTTCCCAACTTCATCAGACATGGAATAATTAGTTTCCATTACGACTCAGTAGTATATACCCTGCCACAGCCTCTTACTATGGGTTATTTATTTACTGAGTTAACTGATAACCCAAGTAAAGTTTATACTGAGTAGAATTAAGAAAGACATTTCCTAGTCCCATGGAATTTGTTGTATAGCTTTGCTTTACTTTAGTTTTTGTTTGTTTGTTTGTTTGTTTTGTTTTCTGCTGTCAGGAGATGTATTCTTTACAGAAATACAACTGTGAAATGTACCAGCTCCATGTCAGAAAAAGAGCCAGAAAATCAAAGCAGACTTTCTTCCGGAAAAGAATGATCTATCAGGTCAAAGTTGAAACTGTTTCAAAGGAAGAAAATTATTTTTTTTACCAAGATGAATTATTATTCTCACTGTCATCCTGAGGTCTGTAAAGCTGAAGGGTAATTACATACAGGATAATCACCAGCTGCTGTGTGTTCAAGAAGGCCGAAAAGGAAACACCGCGTGTCCGTATACAGACTGTGGGCTTCCTGAGGGTTGGAACTGCACATTACACACCTTAGGTATCCCAGGGGTGACTAGCCCAGTGTATTATGACCCAAGGAGTATTAAATATGTTCTCAATGAAGTGTAACAAGCTGGAGTATATTTCACTGCAAGGAAGCTTTGCCTATCAGGAATTACTAATGGAACAGACTAAGTCCCTGAGAGAAACTTTTTGTCTAGATTATTTTTAAAAAACAGAACAAACTTGGGGCTAGAGAGATGGTTCAACAAGTACAGTGCTCACTGCACAACCATAAGGAGCTGGGTCCAGAGCCCCAGCACCCTCCTGCCCAGAAGCTCAGACCTGCAACCCCTGAGCTGAAGGGCAGATGAGGCAGATCCCAGGCTTTTGCTAGCCAGCCAGAGGACAGGCTCATAACTTCATGCACTGAGAGACTCTGAGCAATGAAATTGGGGAGTTTTAAAGACAGAGGTGGAATTTGCCTCTAAAGCAGTTAGTCCTTCAGTCTCCAAACACGGAAGACAAGATTGATTACAGAGACTCCCTAAACTCACAGCTGCCTAACGGACGAAATGTTTAAAGAGGGACAGAAGGAGAACAGGAAACCTTTCAAAAGGTTGCAGCAGTTTGAGATCAAGATTAATCGGGAAGAATTGCAAAAATGTAAGATTCACAATTAGGTTGATTATTTCCTAAATGCCACACAGATAAATTTCTTTTATTCAGAGGTATATTTGAAAATATGAGGCACCCTGTTTGAAAAGCAGCAGCTTATCCCAAATCAAGTTTATGTTACCTTTGATTATAACCGATAGGAAGACATCTCTTTTCCTCAGCAGTCTAGCCCAGACAGTTCCATGTGGAAATGAGACTGAACTTCCTAGGAACCACACCATACTTCCCAAACATGCTTCACTGTGCTATGTTCTACTCCATTTTGCTACACTGACTTTAGGGACAGGCAACAGATCTCAGAAAGTCTAGATCACTGGGCAAACAGATCTTTGCTATTTCATGCCCCCCCCATCCCATCTTTCCATTTACTGAGTCCACACAGAAAATATTCTGGAAGCATTAATACAGCAATAGAGCTACACTTCTGTGATTCCAAATGCATCCAACAGGTACACAGCAATTATGGTATTAATAAATTAATGTAGCAGGCAAAGTCTCTTTATTCCCCTCGAGAGACTCAGTCTCATCCCTGGTCAATTCCAGCTACATTTTCTCCCCGGAAATCTGGCTACAGTGGCTTCTTGCTTCGACAAGATTATTTCTGGCACAATTAGCACCTCAATTAGTTGAGGTTGCCTATGCTTACACCACACATGATTTAACACTTTATAACATACGTGTGCTGTTTTCTTGCTAATTCTTAGACATTAGGGTTGGGTTTTTTCTTTTTTTTTTTTTATCTGAGTCACGTACAACTCTGTGGCTTTACAGAAGCACGTCCAATTTGCTATCCGAACTCTCCTGTTTGTTAACAATACTGCGGGATGCCCAAGGATCAGACAACAACAACAAACCAATTTTCCTGCATTTGCTGGACAATGACACTTCCTCTCACCAATCATTTCCCTAATTCACTGATATTTCAGTGGTTGGGACAACAAAAGAATAATTCTGCATATTTTGCCCCCAACAGTTGCTATAGTAGATACAGAAACAATTTTAATAATTCTGTGCCGTTTGTACCCATGAAGGCAATTAAGGTTACCAAAAAATTTTTAAAAGAAGGTTTGATCTGATGTTGGCTGGCAAGCAGCAACTGAGAAATCAGACAGCTGTTGAACCCAGAACAGATGTTAAAGTACACAGTCAAGATTTGCATCTAAATCCTGAATTTAGAGGGTCTCTTTTGATTTTTTTTTATATTAGCACAAATTAATTGTACAAATAGGAAGTTTTGCACACAGGTTTTGTGCATGTTGCTCTGCATTTTTCTTTGCTAACCTCCTTCTCACCCGAATGTCCGGCCCCTTGTCACATTTCACATGGCTAACAATATTACTGCCACTTAGATCCAGGAAATGAAGGGGCTGAAGACTCTCGCCGTGCAGTGGGGTAGTGCTTTAGGTTTGAATACATGATGAGTCTCACTCAGCCCTCTGGGTCACCAGATTGAAGGTTACAGGGAAAGGGAGAGGACAAATGGAGTCGGGGGGGGTCTACGAAGACTATCCCCCATGGAATTTATTTGTAGAACTGATTTGTTTTCCAATGGGACAATGAAAGTCCCAAACTACACAAATTATGGGCCCCTATAGTCTCTGCGTGGGAAAATCAGGGTTCAAATTAGGACAGAAGCCCCACACACTTTTGCCTGGAGTCACTGACTTCAGGGGCAAAGGATCCAAGGATGGATGAGCAGGGAGAGCTGCAGCCCCTTTCACAAGACACCTGCATCTCTGTCACACAGAACTACCCAAACTCTTAACCTCTGAGTGCCTAGGAGAGTATTTTGTCTTGCTATCTGGCTCTTTCCCCCATTATATTATTACTATTTCTTTTGCTGGTGTGTTAGAAATCTCGACGGCTACAGCTACCTTGCATTCCGGGGACACACAGGTAACCGCTTTTCCTGGCTTTTGCTTCAACAGTCAGGAAATAAAGTGCCCTCAGATGCCTGGCTACACCCAGCTCCGGACAGGAGGTGGAGGGCAGCCCTCCTTGGAAGCAACTTGCCTTCCTCCCAGGGTGCGCCTGCCAGTCTGGGCTGCGCCCCGCCTGGAATCAGATTGTCCTGGGCTCCTGCTGGCTTTCAGTGGAGAAGGGGAATTGCCCTCAATACCAAGTCAGGTACCTCAGACTACCCTTTTCCAGCTTAATTTGGTCACTCACCCTAAGACAATTAACCAGCAACAACCTCTTTTGTGGAGGGCAATCCCCCCCCCAAATCCAACCTGCACCCTAGGTTGCACCTGCCCAAATCCAGAGGGGTCCAGGGCTTGCTGGACCTCTTTTGTTTCTTACCCTGTCTCCGGGGTCCTTACTCAGCACTCCAGGTCTTGGTCAGCTGTTTTCTCACGCTCCCACCCTAATTTTACTGCCGCGCCCCACTACAGACCCCACTCTCCATAGAGTCCCTGGTGCGGTCCCCTGAGTGACCACTCTTGGAGCCAGGGTACCACTCTCTTTGGGGTAGAGTTCTTTGGGAAACTCACCTCCCTACGGAATTTGCATCCTCCAGAGAAGGGGTTGGATGGACCCTCAGAAAGCTGCCTCCAAGGACGGGTTACGATCACTGAGCCCAATCTGTCGACCACCCAACTCCCTTCCTACTCAAGGTCTAACTGGGGTCCCTCTCCTGCTTCCCGGGGCTCCGAGCGCTGGGGTGTGGGGACTCTTGGGGTGTGGAGCAGCGGCAGCAAGTGCAGACCCTCTCCCGCAGGGGCTTGGGGTCCGGAGGAGCTTGGAGCGGCTGCTAGCCCCTCCCTCCGAGGGCTGGAGGGGCTGACGTGTAGGGAGGGTCCGGGCGGGGCTGGCTCTGCGATCGTCCGCCCCCCCTCGGCCGCCGCGCATAGGGAGGAGGGAGCGAGTGACGCGCACCTAAAAGGACTTAAAGTCGGAGAAGTTTGCGCACAGCTTCATCTCTGGGCGAGCAGAGGCAGGCTCTGCTAAGGTGAGCCTCCAGCTCTTTGGGGAGCAGAGAGCAACCAGGAGAGAACCCTTGCCTGGAGCCTGGTTTGCAATCTTGGGCAAAGGGAGGCTTATCCCATAAGGGAGGCTTAAAGGGTCTGGAAATTGGAAGGTGGGCAAGGAATGCTCAAGACTAATTCAGTTTGTTCTCACATTTAACTAGGAGAGCCAGCCGCCCAAGACCCTGGGCGGATTTCACCTTGTGGCTTGCAGACAATTCCTGGTTGGAGAGGTGCTTACTTCTGCACCTCACCCGGAGGCTGGCATCCCCTGCCTGGGGATGCCCAGTGAACCCTGAGATCCTGAGAACGCCTGAGCTGTGTCCTGGTAAGAAGAAGGTTTTTTTTTTCTTTTCTTTCTTTTTTTTTTTTTTGGAGGGGTGATTGGAATTTAAAGATTTGAAGGGTCCCAGGAATAGCTAAAGGTGGTAGTGAGAATGATACTTTGTGTTTTTTACTGCAAAATTGTAGGTTGTGATGTTTAGAGGTTTCTTGTAGGGTCGGCTTAGTCTCTGTTGCTTCATTTTTACCATGACTTAAGGAAAAAATAGGTGTCTTTGGAAGGTGTGATGGTTTATAATTATGTGTTGAAGAGCTGTCTGGTTCTGTGGGAGTTTTTATGATATTATTCATATGAATTTTCTCTCAAAAGTTTTAGCCTCCTGTACTATTGGGTATAGCAATTTCTAGGTTTAAAGTTGTGGCTGTTCCTAATAGATGTTTAGTAAGATGTTTAGAGAATATCGGCGGCATCTAGGCAGTGTTGTGTGCGATCCTGGAATTGAGTACAGTAGTGAATGGTGTTGCTTGTTTGGTCATGTTCTACAAAGAATTATTTTCCAACAATCATTTATGCATAGCATTCATTCTTCACACCTATTAGGAAAAATCTGTTGTGTGCATAGTTTCCAAAAGAGCCTTCTTTGTCATGATGCTCTTCCCAAGCCTGAGTGAAGGATATCAAGAAGCGTTTGTTTCAACTAATGAATTCCTCTTTTCAAGCAGACAGTTTGCGTGAGGTCCAAGGAAATCCAAAGTCAGAAATCAAAAGTGCAATTAGATTTGTCACCTGTTTTGCCAGCTTTGATTCTGGAATCTACCTAAGGGTTCTTTATGATACCTTAAATCTCTAGTATATTGTAAATCAGAAAAAGGAAGCATATTCCTTTGGTTTCCCTGACTACGTTTGTGATTTAACTCTGAGCAAGCACATCTATGACACCTTTAATCTAATAGTATATTGTATACTGTTTAATCTATAGTACAATGTAAATCAGAAAATGGAAGCGTGATCCTTCGGTGTCTATGACTATGCTTGTGGTTTAACTCTGACCAAGCACATCTATTAAAGATGTTTGTTGGAATTTCGGGGCACCTAAGAGAAAAAAAAATTCTTCTTGATGAGATCTTTAATCTAATAGTATATTGTGTACTATTTAATCTATAGTACAACGTAAATCAGAAAAAGGAAGCATGATCCTTAGGTGTTCATGGCCACCTTTGGGGTTGATGTTACCCTGAACAAGCCTGTCTAAGAATATTTGTCAAAATTGTTATGCAACTGAGAGGAAAAAATGTTCTTTATGATACCTTTAATCTAATAGTATATTCTATACTAATCATAAAATGGAAGCGTGATCCTTCGGTGTCTATGACTATGTTTGTGGTTTAACTCTGACCAAGCAGATCTATTAAAGATGTTTGTTGGAATTTCGGGGCACCTGAGAGAAAAAAAAATCTTGATGAGATCTTTAATCCAATAGTATATTGTATACTATTTAACCTATAGTACAACGTAAATCAGAAAAAGAAAGCATGATCCTTAGGTGTTCATGGCCACCTTTGGGTTTGATGTTACCCTGAACAAGCCTGTCTAAGAATATTTGTCAAAATTGTTATGCAACTG